TTCTTTTTGGTCTCTCTTAAATTGTTAATGATCACAAGTATCTCTTCAGGTGTTTGACAGCCGTATGACTGCTTCGGCAATGAAGTGTCTAGTCATGTACTTTGATCATTTTTTGTTCTTTTACTGTAAAGGTATTATATTTTTCCATATATTTTAGAGACTGAAGCTGTTAGATATGTTATTAATAAACTCTTTCCCAATCTTTAGATTCTTTTTGACTTTGGTAAAATCTTTGGATGAATATAAATATTAAAATTTTAGGAGGACCTAATTTGTCTTTTATTGTTCATGAATTTGTAGTTGTGTGTGATAGTATATATACTCCAGAAATTAGTGCTCTCTAGTTTTGTCCTGATGTCATTTTCCAGAAACTTCATCATTTTAGTTTTAACATCTATGTCTTTGATTCCATTTGAGTTACTTTGGTGAACAGTGTGAAGCATGAATCTTGTTCCATTTGTCTGCAAATGGATCTCCTGCTATACCAGCACCATTTGTTAAAGACCCTGTTTCTTCCCCTATTGAATGGACTTCTACTGAAAAGTACTAACAAATGAGCAAGGCAAAAACAAAGAACTGAGGGGAGACATTCATATTTTCTAAAACTGTGTCAACTTGATTTATAATGTATTTGTAACAACATATAAGTTAAAAAAAGATAAGTAAAAGTTTTCTTAAAAGATTCAAGAAAATTAGCCCCTCTAAATATAAAACATAGTAGAAAAACACTGTCTTTACAATATGTTGTGAAAACTGATAGACCAGATCAATCTATGAAACATATCACATGTGCACATGCATACACTCACCTCCCTCCTAGGTAACAAAACCATCTAGAGTAGTCTCATACAATAAGTCATAGTCTGATGGGGCAGAAAAGTACCTAATTAATACTTCTGAACTTAGTGATTACAGCAGAATCTACTATTCAGAAGGGGTCCGCAACAAAACTATGCTAACAGAGAAATCATTTATTAATGGGAGGGCAGCGGTCTTCAGCAATCACACGTACTCGTCAATCACTATCATCGAACACATTCCCAGTCCTAGAGACCCTACTGAACTGCCCCTTTGGGGTCTGAGGCTGTAAACCTTTATAGGAACAGAAAGCCAGCTCTTTCTCCCAGAGCAGCTTGTGTTCAAAAGGCTGACGTTGTGAGTAGCAGTCCAACACCTACTCTATGCCACCCGGGCTCCTTTGAAGTACAGTTATAGGTGACTTGGAGGAGACCTGTGGTGTAGGGGCCACAAGTTGGGCTGCAATCTGCATGGTCGGCAGTTCAAAACCAGCAGCAGCTCCGTGGGACAAACACGGGGCTTTCTACTCTTGTGAACAATTACAGTCTTGGAGTTGCTATGAGTCAACATTGACTTGATGACAACAAGTTTGGTTTTTTGATGACTCTGAAGGAAAATAACTATAACTCACTAGAGAGAATCATTTGGAATTAGCATACACATGGGCCTGGAGACTATCTCCACAAGTTTGTCATAATAATATCTAGTCCAAGTCCTAAAATTCTATTTAAATTTTTTTTAAATGGACACCAAGGAGGTGAAACTTCTTGCTATAAGGTGGCATGAACCCCACCACACGGAGGCCAAACACGAAGGGCATGCAACAGAACAGCAAGGAGAGCAGAGCAAGGAAGTCCTGAGGGAGTACCAAAAGTAGACTTTGGGGCCAGGGCGTGGCACCCCATCAGACTCAACCAGAAAATACTCCTAAAGGTCAACAAACAGACCTTGAACTATTTACAGGCTTTTCCTTTTTTTGTCATTGGTTTTTGGTTGTTGTTGTTTTCTTTTGTCGCTTTGTTTTGCTCTGTCTTGTTTTTATGTGCATATTATTATCTCGGCAGATCTATCTAGGTAAGATAGGCTGGATAAATAATCTGAAGGAGAAAAAAATGGAACTGTTGGTTGGTGGGAGGCAAGGGAGACAGGAGAGAGGGGTAGGTGGGGGAAAGGAAGTGGTGTTAACCAACCCAGGAACAAGGGAACAACAAGTGATCCAACATCAGTGGCAAGGAGGGTGTAAGAGGTCTGGTAGGGATTGATCAAGGGCAATGTAACTGAGCGGAATTACTGAAAGCTAAAAGAAGGCTGAGCATGGTAGT